AAAACAGTGACCTGGGAGACGTCTCCCGTGGGAGGAGGACACTGCGGTGGAGCCGCGTTCCCCGGCTCGTCCGCCTCTCCCAGCGCTTTTCCCAGGGCCTTGGTCATCGTGTTCACCTGCGTTCTCATATCACACGCTCCATTCTTTCCCAGGGCCTTGGTCATCGTGTTCACACGCTCCATTCCACTACTTACACTTGGCAGTTGAGGAACAACTTTCAGCCCCTTTCACATCTCATTGGAGATGGCCAACAGGTTCCCCGAAAGAAGGAACATCTCCATGTGCCTTTAGAAAACCGAGATAAATCTCCAAGATCTTGCTTATGCCTCAGGATTCAGTCCTGGACCCTCCCTTCCCCTCACAAACTCCACAGAGGCTGAAGGAAGACACGAGGAAGAGCCCATGGGGCCTGCTCAGGTGCTCAAAATGCACTGACGCTGATGCCGAACGGCCGGGGGTTGAGTGAGTGTCCCTGGGACACTGCGGAGGAGGGAAACAAGTAGATTTTAAATCTCGGGAACACGTAGATTTTAAATAACTCGCTGGAAGGTGAAGTGAAACCCTTCGCCAACACGTTCCGGCCAGTGCTGCGTCCGCGACGCTTTAACGAGTCCCGACCGTGGCCCCTGCACTTCCTCCTCTGCCACGTGTCTCCTGGCGCGTGGAATCTCCCTACTCCATGGATTTCCTCTTGGATCAGCTACTGCCTGGAGAGTTAATTCAAGCTACTTATGAGCATCCTGCAAGGAAAATGTTCCTGTTCCCTTTCACCCTCGTGAGCAGCTTTAGCCGACTGCCTTTTCTTTAATACGTCAGGAACAGCGGTTGCAGGAGTGAACCTGCATTCTGGTTTCTGGCAAAGGGGATTTCTTCTCATATTCAGGTTGCTCTGTCCTAGCATTGCTTGGACAACCTGAAACCCAGAGCATAATTTAAACCTCAGCTTTGCCATTGCTTATCAGGGATGGCCCGACTGTAATTTGCCCTTCTTTGTAATTAGCGGAGGCTGCTTATTCTTAGGAGCCTTAATTAATGAAATGAGAGGTGATATTGAGGGAATAAAGTGTTGACACAGCGAGTTAATAACATCCTGCTGCTAAGTGATGGCCAAGGCACAGGTGAGTCACGCTCGGCGGGCGCCGGCGCGCCCCCCGCCGTGCCCCTCTCATCTATATTTCAGTCTCGGGCTGCTCAGGACATTCTGGGCCACCTTTGGACCGTGAGGAAGGTGGTTTGGGTGCCCGCGAGGCCCCGGAGCGGTGCCGGCCGCAGTGGTGCGGGATGGTAGTGGTGCGGACGGGGCAGCGCTGCTGCCTGTGCGGCAGCTGACGTGGAAACCTGCGGGCGCCACGGGAGCCTCTCCCGCCGGGGAGACGGCCGCTGCCGGGATCCTTCCTTGCACGCATGATGGCCGCATCCCTGCCTGGGGAAGCCTTCGCCCCCTCATCCAAGCCCCTGTCCATCCACAGCTGCCTTCATGTCACCCCCTGCTTCCTCACGCTGTCGGATCAGCGGGAAGCAGCTCCTGGAAGCCCGTTTAGCAACAAGCAGTGGGCAGCAGCTGCCCAGGAGCTGGGCCGGGTTCCAGCCCGCAGCCCTGGCCTCAGACAAGGGCCAGCTCTGGAGAGGGGAGCGATCCTGGCTCTTGCTTCAACACCTCCAGCCTTGCAGTAGCTCTGCAGCCTTCCTGCTCCTTTCCCATTTTTCCAAGCCCGGCCTCGCATTCATCACTCGCGTTCACCCCTGTCCAGCCTCAGCAGAGCAGGCCCCGCTGCAGGGCCATGGGGAAGGAGCAGCAGCAAAGAGCTCTCATTGCCCTCCACGGGGACCAAGCCCAACCTCCAGGGAGGCAGGAATATTTTGTTCCAGCTTTTTCGGGACACTCAAGTTACTCAAGGTAACTTGAGATAGGAGGTGGCTCAGCCCCAAACAGGTTGTACCTGGCTGCAAACACCCCCCCCACACACACCGTCCTTCAGAGCCCAGGGCTCTTCTCTCCTTCCCTCCCTCTTGCTCTGGGCTCTGCCCTGGGCAGAGATGCCGCAGGGTTTGGCACCACCATCACTTGTTCCTGAAGTTTAAAGTAAGAGAAAGGAGAAGTGGGGAGAAACAGCTGCTGCAAAGGGAAATTCACACAAACAGCAGAAAGGGGAAGTTGGACAGCGGGGGTGAAATCCCCGCAAAGCTTAAAAACAAAAACAAGCCGTGAGGAGAGCGGAGCAGCAGCCCCGCAGAGGTGGCTGGCGCTCCCACGCGGTTTATGGCTTTGCCATCTTGCCACCACCAAAGGGGAGGGAGGAGCCCTGTAAACACGGGCGACCGCGGGGGCTGCTGCGAGGGGACGCAGGGCGGCCCCACGTCCACGCTGCCGCTCGCCCCTGGCCCCTCGTCCTCCCCTTCCCTGCCGCAGAGCTGCTGCCAGTTTGTTTTTCCCCGCAACAGCCAGCGCTCCTGCTCAGGACAGGGCCTGAAGCAGGTGGGAGCCCCAAAGCACCAGGCCGGGACCCCGCTCCCCTGCACGGCCAAACTGCGCCTGGCTAAAGGGAGAGGTGCTGGAAGCCAGGAGCCCCTGGCACCAGCTCCCTGTCCGCGCTAGCACGGGCCTGTCCAGCTACTGCAGCTCATTAAACACTCTCCATTCCCTCCAAGTGCTTCCTGGCTTTGTGCTGTTCTTTTTTTTTTTTTTTCTTCCTTCAATATTAGTCTTTGTTTTTTTATGGCTGTTTCCGTGTTGGCTGCGTGGCCGCCGCGAGGGCTGAGCCAGGATTACAACCTGCGGAGCAGCAAACACCGGGAGCGACCAGCTGCTTCCAGCAGGGCCGGCGCTGGGTCCTCCTCGCTGCAGGGCTGGGGGCTCCTGCCCCCCACAGCCCCGGGCATTTTCTGGGAACTAGTCTCCTTGTTCGGGCTGAGGGACAGGCACCGCAAGTATTAGAAACAAACGGCCGCGTTGTGACGGTACCTGATGGTTTGAGCCTCACATCAATAGTGCCAGGTCTCTGCCACGGTTTGTAGGCGATGCCAGGCTGACAAGGGAGCAGCAGAGGTGGAAACGACTTCTGTTCTGCAGATTCTTTCTGATTAAACCCAGAGAGCTGATTTAGCTGCAGTTTTAATCCACAAAAGCTAAACAAATGCAGGCTTAAATGACACCACCTGAATAACATTTTCTATCTCTGCACTTTGTGCTAGGCAACAAGTATTGCTTTCAATGCTACCTTGCAGAAGCTGACTAAAAACTGAGGGCCTTAGGCAGCTCAGAGCGCAGGAACAGCATGTTGGGCAAAGGCAGAGGTAAGGGCAGTTTAGAAGCCGCTTACGATGGCTCCTGCCCCGAGCGGCTCCGGGACGGCGACCCCATAAACTCAGAGGGGACGGGGGCCCGGCCGGGCCCCTCGCTGCCGCAGACCAGGACCTTGCTGCTACGGAACTACCTCAAGCTGCTGCCTTGGAAAGTGCTTCGCACCCCCCAGGGGTTTTGGGTGCCCCTTACCTGCCCAAAGACCCAAACTCTGCGGATCTGGGGGACCTCCACATCAAACAACGTAACCCCGAGACGCAGCAGGGTGGCAGAGAGCATCTGCAGCCTTCAGCAGGGGGGAACGCAGCCTTCGGCCCAGGGTTACCTGCGTTTCGGTGACGGGCAACACCGACTATCGACACAACCTTTTCAAGTGCACACAGGCTGGACGAGTCCTACAAAACAGCTGCTTAAAACCAAGGAAAGGTTAACTTTGTTTTGAAAGTTTATTGGATCATGTTGACACAAAATCATTACAGCAGCTTGTGGTATGTTTTTTTTTTTCTTTCTTTTTTTTTTTTTTTTCTTTTTTTCTTTTCCAGGGAATGTCGATAGCAAATCATTTTGTGAATGTAACACATCATACAGCTTCAAAATTCTAGAATCACTGCACAGGATTCTGTAAGAGAAGACTCTACATGCTAAAGTGACAGTTTTCATTGATGAATTAAAAAAAAATAATAACCACTAATTGAGGAAACATTATCCTTTAAGACAATTTTCATATGCTCAGTTTCTACTACACGAGCTGGCGAACCACCGAGGTTGACCGGTACCGACGCGGCGCCGGGGCAGCCGGGAGGCGCTCCTGCGGCATGCGCGGTACAAAGCTGCTCCTAGCAACAAAACCACAGCAGAGCCTCTGGAAAAAACACCCTAACACGGGAAGAGTGTAAAGAGCACAATACACGCTTAGGAAGTACAGGACATGAACCCAAAGGATAAGATCAACCTCTACCCCGCTCCCTGCGTGGGGTTTTCGCTCAGTCTACCGGCCTTTGCTGGCGCCCGGGCTGGCGGCGGTGCCGGAGCGGGGCAGAAAACCCCCCCTCCTCCCCGGGCCCTCTCGGGAAGAGCGACCAACAGTTGTTGCCTCAAAGAAAAACCGTTCGCAAGTGTTCTCGGGGTGCTGGGTGTGCAGGTGCAACTAAAAACTGAAAATAAAGCTTTAAAGCAGACGAGTTTGGAAAAAGAACATTATCTGTGAAGGACAGAAAGATATCCCCTTGCAGTCAGTGATCCCACATGATTTCAGCAGTGCAGAATGGATCCGCTTTGCAGACTCTCCTTCTCCTCCTTCAGAGGAAACCTGCAAGGTGAACGCAGGTCTGCGCTGCCCCTCACCAAGCTCCCTCTTTCCTCCACCCCGGCACGGCCACCTCTGCTGCGGGCGCCCAGCTGCACCCGCGCGGCTCCGCGGGAGCCCAGGGCCAGCGCGGGGCCCGCGCTCTGCTCCAGCACGAGGGCTCACGCACGCACGCGTCTCTCGGGCCTGGCAGCGGTCAACCTCAGCTGGTGAAAACGGTGAGAAAAAAAAAGAAAAAAAAAAAGGCAGGAACAGACCCCTTTGGATTTCCAGTTTCTTGCTACACTTTTCAGGAATGTGAAATTGAAGTGGACTCATAAAACACATCGGCAGAGACTGCTCAAAGCGGGGAGGCATGATGGATTTCACAGCAGGAGGGAACGGGAGCAGGTAGCCAAACAGCAAGGCGTCAGCCTGTGTTTTACACACTTGCCCTCTAGTCTTTCAACTGTCACTAGAAGAAGGTTAAGGCTCAAGGCAACTACTATAAAGAGAAACTCAAAAACATCCCAATTCTCACCAGGCTCATTCAGATTAGCACTAGGAGACGGAGGATGTTTATATGCTGATCACAATGGAGCTTTCTTTCTGCGCTTGAGATAACAACAATAATAATTATAATAATAATAATAAAAAAAAGAGGCCTTTCAGGTCCAGCACCAGCCTCTGCTAGAAATATACATCAACTACAGCAGCCCTGAAGATATATTCCATGGCTAGGGATCGAGTCAACCTTCCCAGTAATAAGCACAAGCAACAAACCGTGCTACTGTTGAGAAACTTCTGCTTCGTCCACAGTTCCACAGAGATGGCAAGTTTAAGGGATCATCATGAGCTGCTGAATAAATACCAACCCCTCCCTCCCTCCTCCAGTCATGTCACCAGGATCTCTTTGGGCTAGAAAGGGTTAACACCACGGTTTGTAAAAAGTTTTGAAATAAAAAGGTAACATACAGCCTTAAAATGTCTAAACGGCAAACAGTGGTGGAGTTAACTGAAAAGCACGTGCCCCAGGATAGTACATGCGTACGAGGGAGAAACTTAACACTTGGGTCTGCTTGTCTTTACACATTAGGTGTGTTTCTTGTAGTTGGAGTATTCTGCAAGGAGTATTCAGCAATTGGACAATGTCTCTTTCATCTCATCCAACAAGTTGCTAAGCAGGGTGGAATCACTGCATTTGCCATCTATGGATACAGAGTTTTCTCCCTTGGAAAGAAAAGAGAAATCCGTTAGCTGCTTCTTGATGGGGGCACATCTGCATTCCCAGCAAAGCCTGGGGAGCAGGAGCAGCCCGGGAGCCGGCCCAGAGCCTCCTGCCCGGGATGGGAATGGGTTGAGACGGGAGCTCAGGCCAGGGGAGCTGCCAGCTGCTCCCCACCAGGTCGGGATGGGGAGCAGGAGACCGGCAGGGAGGCAGAGGCTGGGCAGACAAGACTACAGGATGGGCCGGATCATCACGTGAATGATCCATGATCCGTGAATCAAGATGAATCAAGTGGCCCATGATGTTCCCAGAAGATTTAAAGGGAAGAGAAATATCCCTGTTTAGGGCAGGCAAGGCTACAGATTGTCCTCTCAGCATTTCATTTCAAATAATGCTCTCACCTTTTTTACCAGTAGGCAGACGTGATGACCTTGGATAGAGCGACTGTACATGGATGCACAAGAATCAACGCGTTCCACAACTATAAAGAAAACAGGACTTTTAATAAAAACAAAAAAGGCACAATGAATTAACATTTGCTTCCCATGACGAGGGACTACTGCTCTGCCTGGCCTCGAGGGATAAGGAGCTTGAAGGGAGCAGGGAGACAGGGTTCGGATAGCGCAACATGCCTGTCTCTTCCTGGCTCCTACCTGGGATGTTCTGTAATTCTGAGATTAGTCATATGTCTTAAGTAAGACGCAAAGGTTCTGCAGCAAAAACACTAATCAGAGTGTAGATCTACATTCTGTAGGAATGCTTTCACAATCAGGTAGCATCCTGCACACACACCAGGATATGATAAAGCAGTCGTTTGTTTTGTTCTCCCAATTCCCCATGTTTTAATTAATTTGGAATTTGTCAGTCCGAGCTCCAGTAGCTCTATCTCTACCTTACTAAAACAAGACTCAAAAAAGGCAGGATGAAACACTGGAGATCAAATGCATCCCCCTGGGAACGGTTACAGCTTTAACTATGAGCAAGCAACTCCCTTGACACCTGTATGTACCCCCCAGCTCAAAGACCCAAAAGAGGGCTCATTTTGGGAAAGGACAGGAAAGAACACAGAGAACAACATCCACAAGCTCTGAGGACACCAATGTATTACAAAATTGACAAAACCTTCTCTCCAAGAGTTATTTAATCTGGGTATCTGGTTCTGATATCCACAGCACGTTCTACCACCTCTCAGCACAGCAGACATTTCAGAACAAGGAATTTTGCAGAAGGTTTTGCACTGAAACCAACTCACCTGAAAAATGATGATGAAAACAGATCTTTGCCAGTAAATGCTGGAAAGAAATGCTAATTCCATCTACTTTAACAGAACTCATGTGCAGGTCCCCAGACTCTAGGAGCTTGGCAAAAGCATCACTGCAAAACAGGAAGGAAAGTAAACACGTGTGCTACAAATTCAAGTGAAATCTGCCAAGTTAGCTCCATGCAGACCTTAAGGTATCTCAGGATGCAAAAGTCCAAGTACTACCAAGTTCTGGTAGGAAGAGTGGGGGTTAGAGCAAACATGGGAACCCACCATGGGCGGCACACTCCAGACTGCGCTGGAGAAGCGTATGATCTCAAAACTACTGCACGTGTGCAGCCTCCAGGCCATAGGCCCTTCTTCAACAACCACTTGAAACAAACTGGTGGACACATCTTAGAAGTCAGACATTGCAGGAGAGAACTGAACTTCAAGCAAAGCCATCACAAGCAGCCAAAGTCCAAAGCATGTTGTGCATCTTGCAGAGACGGCCGGCAGCCAAAGCTCAGCTTCGCATGGGTGGCAAAAGCACCAGTGCCTGAGGTGCCTCCTCCTGGTGGCACTTACCTATAGCAAGGCGTCGTGATCAAGTATGAAGCGCAACTGAAGTGCAATTTGAAATCTAGTTTTTCATGGGTTGAACCTTCATCATTCTGCAACAGGTCAAAGGAAAGGAGATGAATGGGAGCCCCGAGGCAGCAAGAGGAGGTACCACCCCCACCTACTGAACAGGCACAGCTGAGGCTGCCGAGATTCTGCAGTTCCCTTGAATTCCCTTTAATAAACCCTGTCAGGCCCTAAGGGATCACTGTGAGGAGGGGGCGACCACCATGCTACAACACCATGCTACTGGGACAAAGTTTAGACAAGGTGTTTGCTACATTTGCCTAGAGCAGTACAAGGACACACAACTGGATGGATCTGGCTAGGTTTTCAATCTCCTCCTGGTGAAATATATGGAACAGACTCAGAGATGTAGTATTCAGCTCGCTATTTCCCAAGCAAAACAATAAAATGGTATTTCGCAACTCTCAAGCAGTAAAACTAGCCACTAGGTCACTATTTTTAAGAAACTCTTCAACAGCTAAGTTTGGACTCTGAAGCCTCCATTCTCTTCTTTTGGGCTATTCATGTAGTTCCTTTATTAGTTTTATCAAAATAAACCCATACAATCTTGAAACTAGGTTGATACTTTAAAACAGTGCAACCAGCTAACCCCACTCTTACTTATTTTCCATCCCTATTAGTTTTATCTGAATTCTTATTACTGTTTTTTTCCAGCCCCATTCCAGGGAGCAGCATCCAACTGCTCTGTGGGTTACTGAGGCTGTTGGTTGCAGCTCCTGTGCCCTCCTCCTCCCTGGCAGACACGTCACCGCAGGGATTTTCTAGCTGACCATGTGGCAAACATTTCAGGCTGCATTGCTCATACACTGCCAGGAATGACAGTTTAGGACATGCTCATGTAGTAACTCACGACACTCTTTCCATGAGATGCCATGTGAAAAATACTTCTCACAGCACAGAATGGGCTGGTGCAGCAGAGATGAGATGATGCCTAGGAGAAGCTCTAAAGCAGTGCCTTCCACTCACGACAAGCTCCCTTACGCACAGAGCTTAAAGCTCACTTACTTTCACTATAAAGGACAGTGTTCCTTTTAACTTCTGAGCCACAACAATACTCTGAAGCGTAAACACAAACTGGGCTTCATTAGAGATTCCTGGCAGGAAGAAAAGAGAGGGAGAAAGTCAGGTTAGAGAATGGTTTCCATGTCTAAGCAGCGACTAGAATAGCTTAGCTCCTTGTATTGACGATTTTCAACCAACTAAACAAGTTTTCCAATGAGCTGGAAATGCAGTTATCTGCACAATTCTTGTGATTTAAAAGTGTTACAGCACTTAATTCTTGAGTTTCTGAAAAGCAACAATCCTGGCTTTTAGTGCAGACCATTGAGCGAGTACCTGGGCAATGTCTAGCAGTGGCAATGCTTGCACGACTTGCATAACTGAAAGATATGTGACTTTCTAGATAGTTAACAGAAATAATTGTTTCTAATGGTTTTCTTTTAATGTACAGGCCCATGTCCAGAACTGCTTTATATAGAATGAAAAACAAAACAAACTCCTCATTGTTTTCCTTGGGAGGTCAAAAAAGGCACTCTAAAAAATCACTAAGTCCCAGGAAAGTTGTGAGTTTTCACTATTCTAATCTACAACGAAAGTGAAATTTAAGGTAGAGCAGCAACCCAGCTGTGCTAGGCCCTGTCTTTACCCTCCATCTCAGGGTGTAAAGTGAGTGACAGGTACTTACTGCAAGCTTTCCTTGCAGAAGACCTCTGTCACTAAGACAGTGGCCAGAAGCTTGAGAATAAATCCAAAGCAGACTAATATTCCAAGAACCAGAATGAAAGCAAGCTGTCTATATTTTTGTTTCATTTTAAATCTCATGGCAAAGTTGTTCTCATATTTTGGGATTCCTGTAGTTGGTGACACTGGCATGTTCCAACATGCTATCCACTAAAAGAACTTGACACTTGGACTCAGTTCTACATTAGCCTTAGCTCTTGCTGTACAGAACCACCCGTGTCTATAGCCATACTGTCAAAAGATTTATCTTCAATGAACTGTGTGAACAGGATGTGTCTTTCTGGAAAAGAGTAAGAGGCTCAGACAACTCCTTCCACAGGAGGGCAGTGCAGAACTAAACATATTCCAAGACCCATGCACAAAGGCTGTCATACCAGGGGGTAGCTGGAAGGGCACAGGAATCCCATCATGTACTGATGATCCTTCTGGTCGGAGCATTTTAGTGTTGAGAGAGTCCAGGACATTTAGTTCCATGCTCTTCAGGAAGCTAGTGCTTTTGTTCTCAAGGATAACAGAAACAGTAACTTGACTGTCATTTTGCAGGTTTCCCTGAATATCATAGGTCTGCAAACGAAGGGGAGAAGAAAGGAAAATCAGAAGGATGCTCGAGAAACCCCAAGCGGCACAGCACTAGAATAAGGCAAGTCTGAAAGTAGGTATTTTGACACAGTTAGAGGATGATTAAAAGCTCACTTGTGATGAGCTCTACAGCACTGCTGAGTAGGGGGAAATACCAGCTCAAAAGATTGGTTAAGGGAGACAACCATAGGAATGGGGACTGAACCTCGTTAGTGTTCTAGCTGCTGGCATTTCAATAGCTCTTCAGCTACATGCTGTCTACAAAAGTTGCTACATTATTCTGGGTATTATGTAGGGTATTTCTTTCTTTTCTGAGGGAACACAAAAAGAGGACATTATTTGAACACCAGAAAGCTCACCATTTTAATGTAGGGATTTTCAGCAAGAAGTCGGTAACTGGACATAGGCTGAAAAACAAACAAACAAACAAAAAAAACAAAGACAAGAAACGACAAAGAAGTTACAGTCACAGTAAAACAGAAAAACAGAACTAAGTTCTCTGAAGTGGCATCCTCCTTCCCTCCCAACACTGTTTAGCTCTAGCCCTGGGGAAGGGGCAGGAGTTGCCAGTGCAGAGCTACTCACTGGTAGTGGCTCATCATCTAGCGTTCCATTCTGAACTGACTCTGCTGTCTCCTCCTCACTGCGATGATGCTTCTTCTTGGATTTCTTTTTATCCTTGGATTTATCTTCTTTCTCTTTCTTGTGCTTTTTCTTCTTATGCTTGGAGGACTTCTCCCCCCACCCCCCCCAAAAAAAAGAAAAAAAAAAAAAAAAGAGAGAGAGAGAGAGAAACTATAACAAGCCCTTAGAAGAAGCCCCTATCTTGCCAGACATCGTATCACGAGCCCTCTGCAACACTTCAGCCCTTTGTCTCTCCATACACAGCAAGTAATTTCCTGGAAGCCTGAACACAGTTCCCTGCTACTGCAGAAGGCTGAAACAGAGGCCTCACTCCTTCCACTCCAATACCCATTCCGTGTGGAGCGCCAGCAGCCCCCTGCACCCTGCTCCCCAGGCACACGTCATTCCTAAACCCGCGGCAGCCGGGCCAGCAGGCAGGAGGCCAAATCTCCTCCCGGGACTCGAGGTGCCGCCTTGGCCCCACCAGCTGATCCTCAGCTCGAGGAACAAGAACCCTCCTGTTGAAGTGCTGAGAGCTCCCCAAAGGGCGGCACGAGCCCACTGCTGCCTACTTGCAGATGGTCACTGCACAGAGGAGAGGGCAGCTGCGAGCCCCCGTGTGCTTATAAATAAGGAAAACACGGCAAAAGGTGTTAACTTATGCCACTTACCTTTCCTTCATCCTCTTCTTCCTCCTCTTCCTCTCGTTCTGCCCTTTCTTCTTTTTTCACTCCTTCAGGTTCTGCCACAACAGCAGCACTTGCTTCAGCCTCGCTCTGCACAGATGATCAGAAGGGTTATAGATTTACCAAACACAGTTAAAACGCTAAATTCCAGCCAAAAAAAATCTCAATAATGATACTCCCCTGCCATCCCTCTTCATAAAAACCCTCCTGTTCTTTCAAGAATTAGATTAGACTAACATGATACAAAGCCTTTCATTAGAGATCTCTGAAACTTGGCAAACATGACAGACTGGACAAGACACAGATCTCCTTGAAAGGATCAAAATCTTTATATTCCCTGTCTCTTTGTCAAACATCTCCCATCGAAACTCATGGGATTTTTCTCTTGGTCTAAAGTGCCTAGATCAAGCTAGAAAACAAAGCCTTAGTTGATATTAATTCAAATTTCATCATGGCCAGTAGCTGCCTCTGTGTTTCTATCCACTGATGTGCATAGTGGAGTAAGCCTGAAACCTCCAGTTAGCATCCATCAACCAGGGAAATAAAATTCCACCATTTCATGGCAGTAAGTTGAGGAGATGAAATCTGTGTTTCCATTTTCTCCCACATTGTGACAAGGTGCGTGTATTGCAGCTAAGACTAAGACCAGAAAAAGCTTCTTGTGTCGTGGTAAGTTGTCTACCTGTGGTTGGGAGGTGGAGGCAGGTGGTGGAGCAGTAGAAAGCCAGAAATCCAAGTCTTCCCCCTGAAACCCAAGAGAAAAGAAAACTTGCATTTCTGTAGCCTGGTTTACAGAAGAGGTAAGTTGAGTCTTCAGAGTAACTGTCAATTGCTGCCAAGTTTTAACTGAAAAAAAATACGAAATATATGGGAGCAGGACAGAGAATGAAGATGAGTTCCATATATTTCAATAAATAGAGAGTTCTTTATTTTAAAAACTGACAAAATGAGCTCAACTTTGAGATTAGATCTGGACAATCATCAGCATAGGCTGCCGTAAGCTGAAGTCTGCTGATAAGGCTAAGTATTATTTTTAGTCACAGATGTCTTGAAATACACAGTTAGGGTAGTAGTGATTTAAGGAAAATAAAATCAAAAGCATTCAGCTGTTTGTTTAGGAACAATCACATTTGACAGCTGAAACAAACCACTCAGCAATATATACAGTCTGTAACTGCCTTTTTTTTTTTTAAATACCGTGTCTTTGAACAATTTTCAAATGTCTTTGAAAATTACCTTTTTTTCTTCTTCTTCCTCCACTACTTTTTTCTCTTTCTCTTTTTTCTTTCCCTTCTCTCTCTCTTTTTCTTTGTGTTTCTTTTCCTTCTTTTTGGGTTTCTTGCTCTTCTTCTCTGCAAGAGGAGCTTCTGAGTCCGGTGACTTCAGGTTCTCAGCATTTCTGTGTCTCTGCACTGGCAGCTTCTCACTGTCTGCTAAGGGTCTTAAAAACAGAGCTGCCATTAGCCCCGTGATGCAGCAGGACAGTCTCTGCCACAGTTTAGTTGGCGTGTTGAACTTGCAGGACACAACGTGCTTTGTTTAGAAACTGCTGGGCCCCAAATTTCAATCACTGCCTACTTGTGTACCCCAATAAAGGTTTATTTACGCAACCGTAGCACTGCCCTCATGGATTAGAAATTGATGGAGACGTTTTGCAGGTGTCAGAGGTAAAGCTCTTGCTAATACCCAAACACCTCAGAACAGTAATGGCACTTGCAGGCTGAACAGCATTATACTGCATGCCCAGCAGCCTCTCTCAAAGGAGGAGCAAACAAGTAGGAGCAGGGCATTTGCAATAGTGTGATAATCCAAGCTGTGAATCAAACAGCCCTGGAAAGGCAGGGTTTCTGTTATCAGAGAATAGGTATCTGATTGGAAAAAGACGTGAAGCAATGAATCATTTCATTTCAGAAGTTCTCAATCTGTGTTCAACCATTACGTAAAGAAGCTGTATTTCAAATAATTGTTTCCAAAAGCATGTCTGGTAGCTTAGATTTACCACATGCCCAAAATCCATTCCTTAGCAATTTCTGTCATTTCTTCTCTTCCCAATTCTTGCCAAATACCATCCAGAAATCAGTGAGGAAAAAGCCCACTGACTGCCTCAAACTTATTGTTAACATTTTCACATCTGAGCAGCAAACACCAGTTCAGAAAGACCAGTTCTATTGGTCTTATTCGCCTCAATTTTTTGCTTATATTGTAAACAGCATCAGACTTGATGCATTTTTACTTTGAAACCAACCCTGCAGAAGCCAGCAAGCTCACCCCTGTTTGAACAGTAAGCAGATCTCATTTCAAAACTATTGCACAAAACTATTTCACAGGAACAGCAACAAAAAGTCAACAACGTAGCCGTCACACAAACGTGGGGGTCAGTGATTTCAATAGCATCATGACCCTCCTAGTATTTAGGCTGCCCACTGAAACCAATCAAGCTTACAAAGAAGGCCAAGCATTTAGTGCTGCGTTCTTACCTGGAAGGCTTCCCTGAAACCAGACTGCATGCGAGCGTGACAGACATAGCAGTGCAAGCACAGAGAGAGAGAGAAAGGACAGAGATATGAGAAAACGTGACAGGAGAGCACAGTGACTTGTGTGAAACGGGAGGAGAATGGATGGAAACGATACAAAGACGCTTCCTGGAGCACGTCTAGAGACTGCTTAGTGTTTCTGATGCTGCTTAGGCTTCCCATGCAAACACTAACGCTGCTGGTACAAATTCATTTCCTTTTACATATTGCCTGCTGCAGACTCAGAGAGGAACATGACCAATTTGGGGTGGGAGGAGAGGCACTTTCCAAAGCTGCTCTTAAAGACACTACATATATATATATATATATTTTAAAGGAACTGTGGTGCCAAACTTGTGCAGATTTCTGTTAGAATTGCAGACAGTGAAACAAGCTTTGAAGTTGTTTAAGCACCAGAGAGAGAGAGAAGACGTGTAAATGCTGGCTGTAGACATATAGTCTTTAAAGTCTTACAAGAATAATTAAAAAAAGGATATTAACACACCCAAAAGCTCACCTTAAATCTGGCCCCAACTCTGCAGTTTCTGCTTCTCATTTTCTAGTCATTTGTGCAATTCCCACCCCTCACACCCCTATCCCCGAGAGCTCTCATCATTTTAGCAGCTTAGGGTTTAGCCTCTCTGCTGCTGTAGGAACCAGGAGTACATAATGGGAATGCAAACTGGATGACCAGCTAAGGTTACATCTAAGACACAGAGAGAATCTTCTCACCGTTGTCTCTTTTCCACCTGACCAGCCCTCACACATCCTGGTTAATAATAAAGTAAATTCATACAATAAACTGTCACTTACTTATCCAGATCGATATCAAGTGCCTTATATGGATCATTTGGATCTTTATCATCCTCATCACTGGGCAATGCATTCTGCAGGAGAGAAAGAGAGACCACCCGCTGAAGAAGTAAACAAGAGGCAACTTGAATTTTGAATCCTTGAACTTGAAACTCCATAACCTGTCTCGTTAGGTTGCTAAGCACGAACAGCAGCTTGCATCGAGGCAAAACGAGCTGTAAGAACAGCGCAGCTGAACGCAGCATCCAGCTACGAGATTAATTTAGAACAGAAAACCATTCTTTGCAAACTGCAGATTTTGAATCGCTGCTGTTTGGTTTTGATTAAAGGAAGTTTTAGGAACAAATACAGATTACATCATTAGCATGTGCAGTTAACTATAATCAGCTGCAAAGCTGCTGACTAGACAGCAAGCTAATGTCAGAGTGAGGCAGCAAAGCATAACAAATAAAGCAGCTATTTGGACAGATACTTTTAGAGCAGAGATGCATATTGTTTTTTAATAGCTTCAGTAGTATTCTTCATCTTTTTGCACACAAAAAACACAATCATTTCTCCTCCTACAAAGGAAGACTATTTCCATCAATCATTTCTTAAACTACTTTGCAAGAAATCAGAGTCCTTGGACAGCAAGAATCCAGACCAGCTGACAATTTGCCAGGAAAGTAGAGGGTGGGGGAAAGGGGGGGCAGGGATCTCTCCAGAAAAACACAAAGAGAAGCCCTGCAGCTCCAAGCACCACAAACAGGCAACTAACCTCTGGCATCTCTTCTGTGATGATATCAACGTGATGAGCTGGGGCAATATCCTCCTCGCTCTCGGTGTGCAGGGAGTTATGGCGGTGATGTTTACCTCTCTTCTCCTTTTTCTGCTTCTTCTTTTTCTTGTCTTTCTCCAGCTTCTGTTTATGCCTTCGCTCTTCTTCCAGTTTCACATACTGGTCAGACATAGGCATGCCTGCAGAGGAAGCCAAACTGCTTTCAGGCTCGAGTCCAAACGAACACTGATCACCACAACAATATGATAGGAGCAAACCTTGATTCAAGCTTTTCAGAATCAGGAGGGTCAACACCTCTCTACAATTCCACATCAGCTCACACAGGGGAAGCTCTAACATCTCCTTCTTGCAGCAGCTTTATTACTAGACTCCATCTCTCTTCAAAAATAGGACAAAGCTCTATCCTGCTCTCTGATTCTCATTCACATTAAGCAGATTACAAAGATGGGCTAAAAATCATTACTTTACATAACCACGGGCTCTAAGACAGCCCACTAAAACATTCCAAATGTGACTGTTTCCTACCCAGGACAGTCATTAGTTTATGTTTGTGTTACAGACTTGGCTGTGCAACATGCTTAGTCAGAGAGTTTCTCTAAATACTGTCTGGAGAGGATGGACACTCAGCCTGCAAAGTCCATCTGTGAAAACACGGGTTCTCGCTCAGGCTGACCTGTATTCTCAAAGACACATTAGTTAAGGAGAGGTGTTTAAGAATCTACAGGAAGCATGCTCCCTGCCTGTGCGTTTTAACTGAATTTCTATAACACACTGCAAAGATTAGCTGCACTTACCTGGAACTTTTAAGGGGACAGAAAGATCTATCTGGACAACAGGTATATGCTCCACACCTGGAGTGTCTTGGTATCGCTGGCCAAATGAAAATTTGTTACTTTGAGTATCACCAGATACATATCTATATAAACAAACACATTTCAAACAGTTTGGTACTAAATCCCCTCTGGTAGCAGGGTGTAATTATTAGCTGTAGTGCTCTGCCATGAAAATGGTTTGTTACAACTCTGAAAACTTCTCATTTTTTGTTTTGTTGGGAATAACTTGCCACTTCAAAAGATAAGTCATGAAGCCCAGGTGGAAGGAAAAGGGGTTTTCCTTATAATATAAAGGAGATAAAGTTACGCTGCTTCCCTGAAGAGCAGAGAGAATAAAGAAGGAAGTGGCAAGAAAAACTGCAGTGACTTTTTGATCCAGAAAATAAACTGCATGTTTAAGCTGGCATGATTTGGATTGGCTATTCAGTACTGAGCTTGAAGTGTTACTTCTCTCTCTGTTGCTCTGCTATACCATGTGTCTGGCAACTTCCATCCCCCAGAGCCGGGGCAAACCATGAATTTGTCAGACAGGGGCATGCAGAAGCACCCAGCAGCTCTGCAGCACTTAACTCTAAGCTGGAGGGCCACTCGAGATGCACAGGGAGCTGGATGATCTTATGACAGAAGATCCTTTGTGGGTTTCTTAAAGACAAGGCTTAAGAGCTGCAGGTAACCACTCACAGCAGTAGATGTGCAGTGTGACTCACCTTCTGTGGGGAAGGGGAGCTTTTAATATAAAACGGGTTGTTTGCCTGTTCTTGTTTCCGGGCTTCTCGACGCTGAAAGGAAAATATAATGATAATTGTAGTAATGTTGGTTTATAAGCAAAGACAGATAAAAGACATTGGAGGGCAAGTGTGATCTCCCTGCTTGGAGCATTGCAAAACTACTTGCAAAGACTACAGACAAATTATCAAAAACAGCTGTTGAGCTTGGGAGTTATGAGACACACTGGAACATAAATAGAGCTGCTAAAACCACCAGAATACTCCTCAAAAGGTAAAGAAAGGATGCCCCAAGTCTAGACTAGAGATAGTAACTTCTAGACAGCAGATTTGGATAGCAGTTCAATCATTTCTATCCTCATTTTTGCAGCAGAGAGGAAGTAGTAAGGATTCTTATAAATAAATAAATTTCTCCATCAAAATAGGAACTAAGTCAGAAGCGGGAAAGGTGCTATCACTACTGGGAACAGTCACATCACACAGTAATTAACAGTGTGCTGTGGTCTATGATCGAAGGTACCAAGATTTTAACTGCTGCTTCTTTTGCAGGGGGCGATGGAATAAAAGGTAGCTGAGCAGAGGAGGTATGTAACAAAAATTAACCGCAGAGCTCAGCATGTATCCACCCTTAGCACCCTGCACTTCAAAGTGGATTGCAAGACATAGATTTGGCAGGAAAGAAACAGTAAACTCTCACAAAGTAAACCTAAGCTCTCCCATCAATCAGCAAATATAATAAAAATAATAATAATAAAAAAATCACTAAGCAGTCATTAATTTTTACAAAACTTCAACTCCACAGTACTCAAAACAATATATGTTTATATACATATACAATATATATTTATATACATATATTGTTTTATATATATATGTGTGTGTGTATATATATGTATATATATCACAACTAATACATCAGTTTTTTTAAACAGCTCAGTACTAGCAAGGGCTAGCGTTTTCCATTTGAACAAAACAGTCAAGTGAGGCTTCTTCATCTCCATTAACAAGTACGCAGAGAAAAAACATTTTAAAAGCTCGCTCACTCTGGCCAGCTCCTCTTCATCTATTTCTGGCTGCTTGTGTCTGGCATGCCTTTGCTCCTCCTCGTGGAAAATCGTTTTGGGCTTTTCGTCCTCAGACTCACTGTCTGACGGAGGTTCGTTGATCCAGGCATCAAGGTCCAAGCTGGAAAGAGTTTCAGTAAACACAAACATGGAACGTTACTCAGAGGCTTCGAGTTTTCCAGCCGTACGCTTCGTTTAAGAGTTCACAAGTTTAAATAAGGCTTTGGGAGAGAGAATGAAACTTACCCCTCGGGAACCGGGACTTTTTTCTGTGCTTTAGGGGCTACAGGGTTCAGCTCACCAGCAAACAGGGCTATTACTTCCTCAGCTACAGGTACTTCTTTTATTTGTAACTTTTGAATGTATTTTATTAGCTGTAAGATGCAAGAAGCCTAAAAACAAATGGAAAAGCAATTTCAAAGTTAACAACAACTGATTGAAAACCCAATTGCAAGAGAAGACACCAAAAGAAAACTTTGACTACTGCACTGAGGGAATAAAACCCAATTGCAAGAGAAGACACCAAAAGAAAATTCCCTCAGTGCAGTAGTCAAAGTTAAGGGAAGCACCATAAACTGGTTATTTGGAACAAATATTAAAGATCCAAGATCCTCTCTTCTAGATGCATCCAGTGTGTTTTGTTGAATATGCAACTCAAAACACAGGCATCTCTGCTTCCCATAGCATACAGTAATATTTACTTAGCCTTACAAAAGGTTTCTTTTAGATCTAGGTATGCACTAGACTATTTTCAGAAACAAATTTTCTCAAAATAAAAGGAATATTGAAAGTAAAAATGTAGGTTTTTAATCAAGAAATGTGTAATGCGGCTGGGCTGAGGAGGTCAAGTCCATGCTTCATGGTCCACATTTTTTTTTTTTAATCACTGGATGAAAAACTCAGCAGCAGATTCTGATTATCTTGCTTCACTATAAAGTAACCATTTGCTATTTTTAATCTACATCATACATAAAAACAAAATAAACTTAATTTACCAGTCTTATATGGAGAATTCCGCAAGCTACAGTAAAGTTTTAAGAATTATGTTCTGTTTTTGCAGACGCTACAGATAATGGTCTTCAACTTGCTCACCTTCCAACCAATGATTATTTCTGATGGATGTAAGGGCAGCTTGTTTCAGAACATGACTGCCCTGGGGATCCATTTCAGGCATCAATATTTAAAAGCAGCTCTTTTTAATTAACTTAGTAGCATACCACCAAATCACTGTAGTCAATTTATATCATTCTGAATGGCCACCTTGGAAGACAGACTTCAAGTCTGTCGATACTTCATGCTTTTCAAAGTACAGAAATGAATGCTTAATGACATTCACGCTTGCATAATCACAAACTAAATCCTCCCGAGTGAAGCTCTTGCAAGCAGTCTGCAGAGCTGGTACTGAACTGGAATTAGATCCAGGCTCTGACATGAAATGGCTCTTCCCACTTCTTCAATTCTGTGGTGCCCATTTCCCTGACTTACACAAAGTACAGAAAAAAGGCAAAGTTCCAATGATAGCACTGCTTTCAAAAGCACATGTACACATTCATACAAAAATACATAGCAGAATCTATCATTTCTGTTGGTGCCTGTATGATGAATACCATGGTAATTCTGTTCTCTTACCCTCTCCTGAACTTCTAGATCTGCACTCTGCACAAACTGAGGCAAACGCTCAATCATCAGCTGTGTGATTTCTTGGGCTGCTTCCTTTTCCCCAGATTGCTCTTTCTGCTGCAGGATGGACGCATAGAGCTTCACCATGTTCTGGACATAAACTGCCTGGATGTGGCCTGGTAGAGTCGTAACTTTAGGCCTCAACATAGCTTCTAAAGTTTGGTTTGCTTCCTCCAGGTGTCTAAAAAAAAAAGACAGGGTGGACAAATAAGAGACAGCAATGGACAAAGCTCAACATTTCATCCAACAGAAGAACTTGTAAAAACCTTGACTGCAGTACGATGTACCCTGGAAAGATAAGGCAGGCTACAAATACATAAACATTTGCTATCTGCATGTTTTTCCCTTCCAGACTGCAGTCATAACAAAACACAGAATTTACAGCTTTAGCCTACCAGGAAAACACAAAAACAATAACAAAACCACCCACAAACAAACCACTAAAAAGAACAAAAAGGAAACAAACCAAAAAACCCCTCTAACGAGCCAAAAAGGGTGTGTGCACACGAGGGCACGGCAGCTTCTGTCCACAGCAGTGCAGGGTTCCCCCTGCTAACTGAGCATCCAACTCCATTTTTAGGTTCCATCTCTGGGTGCAGCAATCCAGCCACCTCCTTCCCATCCTGCCATTCGCCATGCACGTTAGTGAACTTGGAATTTTTATTCACTAATGGAATGACAATGAATTGGGTAACACCTAAAACACTGAAAGGAGTAACAGTGACCTGAATCCACCCTCGAAAAAAAGCTACTGAAAGGGCACCCAGGTTGCTTTTTTGCAAAACTTACTCAGAAAACTCCCCACATATCCAAGCAGCAGCATAAAGCACCTCACAGATCCCATTTCTCTGGGCGTTGCTGGCTATGAGATGAGCGTTGTCCAGGAGCATGGCCATCTGAGAGACTGCAAACTTCCGAATAGCTTTAACTCGGATAGCGACGTCCAGCATCTGAGCCGCGATGAGATGCCCGTGCCGCGTGCCTTCCAGTCGGGTCAGTTCCACCAGGATGCTTATATACCTACAGGAAGACAGTTTTATTAGCAGATGATCATGCATTATCAGTGCTGACTAGAAGTTGACACACAAAACCACTGACCATTCAAAGTTTGTGATATATTGATAATTGGATTGACTACAAATATCTATGATTTTGGTCAACAGCTCGTCCCGATACGTTGTCCCTTCAGCTTTATCCACGTGAATCATCAGTTTCTTCACTATCTCCATCAAGTTCTTCTTTGATACCTGTCGAAGTTTTTGAAAGATCAAACAAAAAATTAAGCCATTGGCTGGGCTAAGTCCTTCTAATTGCATTAAAGCAGCTGCTAACTCTTTGGTGGACCTGTATTACTTAATCAGAACACAAGAGATGGCAAAACATTTTGAAAGCAGATGTTCACTCCTATCTAAGCAGTTCAGTTGCAAAGAGGAACTAAGTTTGCTCACTCCTGGATGAAGTTGGACTTGTCTACTCTTCCAGAGACAAGGATGCAGAGCGATTTAAATTGGAAGTGACCTCTGAAAATCATCTAAGTCCAGCCACCTGCTCAAAGCAGGGCCAACTTCAAAGCTCCATCAGCTGCTCATGCCCTGGTCCAGTCAAGCTTTAAAAATTTCCAATGAATGGAAAACTGATCAAAAGGATCAGGTTTACTAGCAATAATGCAGAAATCCAGGAAGAAATGAGTTTTTCTGCTTCTGATGGTATAAAAATGTAATATTTACTTTAAAACTGAAGAAATTTGAGGATTTGTTTACATCTAACAGAACTCTAGCATTTCAGAACACAGCTCTGCTGCAGTTCCAGAAAGCCATTTGTCTAAATAAAGCAACCAAACCACTCAGTAAATATCACCAGTTGTTATGACCTTCTGCCTCTGGCTATGATCTCTCAGTAAGCATATGTAAAGACCTCTATCAAAAATATAAGTA